TTGATTATGTTCGCAATACTTTTCCTAGATTTTTGTATGTAGTTGACTTATATTTTTCTAACTTTGGTCTAAACGATTTTCAGGCACTAGGAAGTAATTATTATATCTCCGTTTTTCTCTTGATGCCCAATATTATAAATGACAATGTCCAAATAAGCATATCTATGCTGTTTCTTTGTTTACAACTGAGCTAAATTGGTATCAGCAACGATAAGTAATGATCAGTAATGATTGAACGTGTAAGGGTCTTCATGATCAAAGCGATCGCGGGCAATCTTGGAACTTCTTGTGACGTTCATTCATGAATTACCGTGTAGGGTCTGCTTATGAAATGAAAAATGTCTCTTTCAGTCCACATCTTATCACATGTTTTCAGTTCGTTACATAGCAACAAGTTACAATGTATAAGTCGATAATCGATTTAATAACAAGGGGAAGGTAACACATAAATTATTTATTTATTTATTTCGCTTCGTTTCAGTACAAAAACATAGGAAATGTATTGTATTAAACAATAGATGTGATGACATAATGACATAGAAGACAATTTTGAATCGTATTAAATGTTATCATTAATTTTCTGAAATACAAAATAATCTATAAAACAGTAGTTCCCAATCTTTTTTCACCTTAGAGGTTCATTTACAAGTACTAACTTACAAGCGTCACTTCAATTTGACAAGAAGTTCAAGATCCCATGATCACGCTATAAACGGGATTCCGAGAATAGGCAAAGATTTACGAGCTCGTAGTATAACCTCTCTTATTTAGATCGCAATACCGCAGCTAGTCAATTTCATTTAAAATCAGGGCCTTAATAAGCTTTAATTACATTGCTTCTTAAGACTACCGTTCGCTGCACTCTCACTGAAGGGATGAACAAATCCTAAAAGGTTCCTTTTTAGTTGAAGTCGAGGGCTTACAAGATAATTCGGAAACTTTCGGAAACACTCGGCCATTCTCGAAATTAAATTCATGGCATGGTTATAATATCTTGTGCCACCCACCTAACTGAAGGTACACTAGTATTGTAGTGCCAAGCACGATTTAACTATTAAGATATCAAAACTGAATTAAGTAAACAGAAACTATGGACTAAATTTCCATTACATTCTTTTAAAAGTTACGAATGACTTCATATTATCAAACACTAAAAAAATTTGAAAATAAAAATTAAACAGTGCTTTGATGCTTTCAACTACCAACTGTATACTTATGTATAATGAGACAAATGGAGAGGGGTTGGGAATCAGTGTAGTTTGGTTTTCTCAGATCATTAGGTGGCAAGTTTAGTTCAGTTTGACTACAATTAAAGAAATAGCGTAAGTTGGTCAACTTGGGGATTGGATGTGTAACTTCGGGACAGCGGGAAAAAATTTAGCTTGTGGTGATTCCGTGGTGGATACATTGCGTTGGTTCAATCTGCAAAAGCGTAGACGCATGTACTGCGCTACGACCTTGCTGCAGAGTACTCTTGAGGCACAGGCGATAGTTTCATGAAAACAATAATTTTGAAAAAAAAAAAGGAATGTAAATAAATAAAACTGCACAACGAGTGTACTGCATTCTCAAACTGCCGTAAGATAATAGCAGAGTACATGGCTACACAAAGCACGTTTTTACAGACTCAACCAACACAGTGTATCCACCAAATCTTAAGGTATATAAAGTTCACACTTGGAAAACTGAGAACTTCTTATGCACGTAAAACGTCAACTTCTGTAGTTGTATTTGTCTTTTCAGTTTTTTAATTTTATTCGAACTAATTTTTACTCATTTGTAATTTTTCTTACTTTATTTCTCCGTTCAACTCTTTCTTAATTATTAAAGTTTCAATAAAATTGCAATGTATAAAATATTTAATCTTCTTTTTCATTAGAGTTCTTAGATAATATTGAATGTTATCGACCGATCCGCACCAGACTCACTCATTAGAACGTCAGGAATTAATTTATCTCTTTTTCGAAAGAATAGATTTTCCGCTTCGTCGCATCTGAGTTTCCACCGAGTTGCTCCCTAGGGGTCTAAAGAAGACAACAGTTACTGTAATTCTGGAACCCCTGTGAATAAAAGATTACTCTAAAAATAACCGATTCAGTGTAATGCCTGCGAATAAAAGATTAGTCTATAAATAACCAAAATGAATTACGTCTACCAAGGATACAGAAGTGAAATGTCAACGTCTAAATCCTGTAAAAATAGTTTGACCGAAAACGAAGGGTGACGCCCCCCTCCCTCCACCAATTATTTAAATATAAAAATTAAAATTAATAATAAACGAGCTACATGAATGAAATAAATATGTTAACTAAAATCGAATAAAAAAATATAAAAAGTCGACTAGCTGAGCTGGCTATGCTGGCACCTAGAAATATAGGCATAATTTTCACGACCTAAAGGTTACTGTTATTTAAATTTTCAGAGATAACAATATATATCAACATTTCTTAGGATTTTATGATTCAAATTACCTCTCTGGTTTACTCTTCATTTTTCACGAGATATTTTTTTCATTTTCATATATATATTTGATATATTATTATACAATTAATATATTCCATATATATATATTTTTTTTTGTGAGTTGCCTCCAGTAGGCTGACGTGCCTCACAAACCCGGGGGAGGTCTGCGTGGCTTTCCCTGGTGGACGGTCACCCAAATCGGGCTGTCACCCATCCAAGTGCTAAAACTACGCTCACCGTTGCTTAACATATACATATCATGTATATTATAGTGACTATAATATATATGTATATATACATACTATATATGTATTTTATAGTGAATATTTTTTGTTGATATTTTCACGTAACTAGTCAGTCTGTGAAAACGGGGTACTTTTTTATTTTGAGCTTGTATATCCCAAGAAATCAAAAATACTTTCGACTTTTATATTGTTCACTTCTATCTGGAAAAGTTCCAGAAATATACCATTATTATAGAGGCTGTCTCCCTTCAATCGCTTTTCCTGAATTGTGTTTTGCTCAGATATTTTCAAGTATATCCACACACGTAAAAAAATACATAAATAAAACCATACAAATATCAAAATAAATTTATTTTTAAATATTCAATGTTATATTTATTTATTTTTCAACAATTATCTGTAATTTTTACTCCAGCCATTTTCTTGTTTTTTTTTTGTCCATCGCACCTCCTCCCTATGAAAATCGAAAGTTAGCGCAGATGAATAACAGTCATTGAAACAATAAGTTTCAATGTCAAAAAACTATAGCTTTGCTTAAATTTTGAACAATTTTTCATTTAATTTTGCCTGATTTGATGAAAAAAAAAAGGAAATGAAACTTATCAAAGTGACTGTTATCATCAAAGAATTGCTTTGATATGATGACATAACCTATAACTGCCGTACTGCCATCAGCGTCACTGGTTCAGGAGCGGTCAGAAATGAGCAGTATAGATATGACGTTCTTTGGCGGAGCAATTGTAACGAATCAGGCTCCTTTCTATTCCTCTAAAGCAGTAACTGCTAGTGGTGGGAAGTACCAACGAAATATTACCTTAAACAAGTCTCGCGACGTGGTCTACCTGTGTTCTGTGAACAGAAGTGATCTACGATAAAAAGAACTACCGTACTGAAATTAAATATGGAACTTAAGTCACTCTCGGGAGCTCTACAGCAACATAGTTAAACCAAGACCTGTCTTCAGTTACTCTAGTGTTTAACAAAGTTTTCATTAATATTTCTTAGTTTCAAACTTATACTGATAACGAGACCATCATGAATTATGCGTGATTGGTCAAAGCTCATTAATGGGGACAAATGGAATGAAGTTGGATATTACTCTTGGTCAGAACAGAAGACCAGCAGTAGCCGGATGAAGTTAGTTATGTTTGTAGATAGTTATTCATTCAGACACGATACAAACTGCTACAGCAGCTGATGGCCATCCATTAAAGGACACAATTGTACCCCTCTGGAGCAGCTAATACAATCGTCGACATAAGGACAAAGCCTACTGGAGACCTTTGTGGTTTAGGGGCAGCTTATGGTTTCTTCGAGGCTTAGCTACTTCTCCATTGTTCCCTGGAGAGTTATTGTTTCCCTTTTAGTGACCACTCCTGAGGTGCCTGTCTCTTAGCAACATCATTCGTCATAAGAGTTTGAAGATAATCGTTTATTATCTCAGAATTCAGGAAGTGGCTGAATTTTTTACTTTAATGTCGAAGAACAACACTTATAATTCTTCATACAATAAGAATTGTCTATCCCCGCAGTTAAAACGCGTTCAATGAGCAGGAGCCTTTATACGGTGGACAATTCGTGAATAATTGTGTTTCGACACAATTGCAGCTCAAACGTAAACATTCGCGTAAGGGATATTTATCCTAAACGAGTGGCCTAAATTTTCATATTTTTTATTTTATTAACTCTCCAAGTTGTCTGAAAAGATTATAAAGTTAGTCAACTAATCTAATCTTTGAAGTGCTACCAATGGGTAGCTTCTTCACAAGTACTTATCAAGTATATCATATATACATATAATATACAGTGTGTTGTATATATGTATACAGTTTTAATTAAAAAAGAAAAAATATTTTATTCCTTTTTGTTTTTTTTTCATAGTAAAATGAAATTACACTGGATATTTATTAATTGTTTATAGATATATGATCACTGAATGTAACTTACATAGAACTTAAACTAGAAAGACTAATCAGCTAGTGAAATATATATATATACGAATCAGTGTTTGCACTCAGATATAATTAGTCTAATTTGAACTTATACATTTATGCGTAAGCATGTTTCCCTAAAACCGCTTATGCTTCTAATTTGTTTGATTGGTGTAGAATAGATGAATAATAAAAGATTTACAGAGATGTACTAATATTTTCTATTAGAAATTATTTTTTTAATTAAAATATAAACATACAAATAAATAAGAAATATAAAAAACTCTACACAACATCTCTGGATTGCAATATCAGACAAGATGATTCAAATATTGTACTCAAATTTTTTTTTTATTTACAGGCCTACGTAAAGAAAAAGGAAAAGAAAGGCAGAAGCTCAGGAGCCGGCGACAAAGCTTCCCCACCACCTTCCAGAATATCCTCGGTCAAAGACTCGCCCAGAAAGGATTCGACCAAGGGCTCCAACCCGCTCTTCCCACCGCCTTCCAAATCTAATCTGAAGGCGCAGATAGATCACAAAAAGAAATCTCAGAAACCTAACTTCTCCGAACTATACAAAGAGAAGATGGAGAAGATGAGGGTGCCGGGGAAAACGGATTTGAAGGGGTCCCAGACTAAAACTGACTCGACCAAGGCGTAAGTGTGGTATTTTTTTTTTTTTTTTTTGTCAGAAGGGAATTGATACGGCATGAAAGGTAACTTGGTACTGTAGATTTAGATTGGTAACTGAAAGGCTATCACAAAAGTATAGTTAAATTTTATTGAACCTTTAGTGCAAAGTATACAGGGTGACCCGTAAGTAGAGGGAAATATTTAAAAAGTTGATAGTAGACATCAACATATACAACAACCTTCATATAAACAATTGCCCAATTTCCAACAGTAGGAATTTTAAGAGTTGAGTTTTTTTTTTTTTTTAAGAGAGTCGCGTTTTTTGTCAAATAGGAAGGGATAACTCAAAAATTATTTTATTTAAGTAATTAAACGTTGCTTCATAGTGAAATAGACAAAATTTTTAATTGAAGCGAAAGTAGAGTTTGTCATTGTTGAAACTATTTAAGGAGAACTATTGTGAGGACAAACACAGCTAAGTTCCGTTTAAAAAAAAGTAAATAAATATTTGTGATTTTTTTTTTATCATCCTTGAACTGTACTACAGTTACCCCACTTTTAAAGAAAACTTTCTCATTTAATTAGCTTCAAGTCAATATCAATTAAGTTGAGGTTTATTCTGAAAAAAATTGAGATACACCTCAAGTTTTGTAAAGAAATGATGTGATTTTCTATCCAATCACCTAAAAGTACCCGTGTTTTAAGCAAAAATGCCTACGATTAACTTGAAAAACTTTTATTGTTAGTTTTTCAAAGATATAGAATGTACTGTTGTAATTAAACTAAAACGTATTTTTTTTTTCAAGGACCACGCGAATATAATTTCCGTTTCCTCTTCACACCCTCAGCCTTCATCTTACTCCAATACTCTCTCATCCTCCTGGACTGTTCCTCTGGCTCTTCTTTAGTCCATTTCCTCCCTCGTCTCTCGCTCCCATCCACAAGAACCCCAACCCCTTTCAGTTTTTCCCTAAAAAGCTCTCAATCCAAGCAATATTTATCCGTGATTTTTAGGCTGTCTAGTTCCTGTTTTACATATCTCTCATACTTTTATAGCTGCAAACTTCGTCAAAAATTTTCAGACTTTCACTATTCATCCTGGCCATGTGGCTCTAGAACCTTAGTCTTCTGGCCTTGACGACTGTTTCCAAATTTTTGTATATTTATTTATTGAATTTTAGGCTATATCCCTCTTGCGTTACCTTGGGCCCGTGAATCCTCCTCTGAATCTTCCTCTCAATCTTCAGGATTTTCTCTAGGCTGGGAAGGCTGAATGTTTCCATACCATATAATATTACAGGTCTTGCTACTGTACAGTAATGCCTTATTTTTGCATTCGAGGACAAATTTTTCTTGTAAACATTCCTGGTGGCTAAGTTCATTCTTTCCAGTTTGGTTATTCTTTCTTCGATTGATGTCTTATCCATTCCGTTACTACATATTATCTCCCTACTATAAAAACGTATTTTGTTACTAAAAATAAAAATTTTAAAAATAATGATTTTTCAAATATTTGTAATGTAAGGTGTATGTATAAATAATATATGTATAAACAATGTATGTATAAACAAACATTATGTTTCTAGCCCTAATATTTACGTTTTCTTGAAAATAACTGAAGCAATGAGTAGGTTTCTTAAGTTCTGTTTTGAACGTAAATTTTAGCAAGAAACGTTAAGTTTGTCACTGATAATACGCTTCAATTCCTAAGAAAGGAATCTGGAAAACTACACAATTTCATAACAACATTAAATGAAAAACATTTGAAAAATCATTATTTATGTATATATTTTTTTAAATAAATAAAATGTATTTTTCGGCGAATATTTTTATTACACTAAATTCCTTATCCGGGAAAAACAAGAAATCGAATATTTTCAATAGTAAATTTTATTCATTTTTACTTAAAAACACGGGTAATTTTATGTGACTGGATAGAAAATCACACAAATAAATTACAAAACTTAAGACGAATCTCAATTTTTTTTCAGAATAAACCTCAAATTAATTGCTATTGATTTAAAGCTAATGAAATGAGAAAGTTTTTCTAAAAGTGGGGTAACTGTACTATAGTTGGATGATGATAAAAAAAAAAAAAAAAATCGGATAGTTTATTTCTTTTAAATTTTGTTTTGTTTACTATGGATTAACGTTTAATTACTCAAATGAAATCGTTTTTAAGTTATCGCTTCCTATTCAACAAAAAACGTGACTCGCTGAAAAAAAACAAGTCTTAAATGTCTTACTTTTCTACTGGAAATTGGGTGATTGTTTATATAAACGTTTGTTTTTGTAGGTCGTGATGTCTACTATCTACCTTTTAAATATTTTCTTCTACTAACTGGGAATCCTGTATACACGAATTCAAAGCTAGGTAGTTTCTATGTAATAAATTTGTTGGATTCGGCTATAACTTCGTAAATAACTTCATCATATCGTATCATATCGTATCATATTCAAATATTTTATTTGCTTGAATTCTCGGAATTAGAGCGTTTTCAAGCTATAGGTCGGCAAAGTTTGTCTATTTAATCAGGTACCAAATACTCGTAAATACCCATTTTCTTTCTACTTTAATCGTAAGATATCTTGAGCACAAAGTCGAGAAAAATGGTCTTCAAAAATATTGAGCCGTTTGAATTATATAAACTCATTATTTTGAAAATTTAGGTGGTGTAGGTCACGCCAAAGGGCTCAATACTTTTGAAGGCTACCTTTTTCCTCGACTTTGTGCACAAGATAACTCATGACTAAAGTAAAAAGAAAATGGGTATTTACTAGTTTTTAGTACCTAATGAAATAGAAAAAGTTTGCCGACTTCTAGATTGAAAAAAACCCAATTCCGAGAATTTTTGTAAATAAAATATTTGTAGGTTAAGATGAAATGAAACTGTATACGAAGTTTCAGTCGGATATTAGTAAATTGATAAAAAGGGACCTACCTGTACCACGGACTATTCATTTGTACCTGAAATTCTACGATTCGTTTGATTTATCGAATAGATAACAGCAGTGTCTCTTGAAGATCTTTGAACAAGTATTGTTATTTTGTTTGAATCGATACTTGTTGAAAACGTACCTCGTTGAAGTAAAAATACAGTTAAGATCATAGGCATGAGAAAGGAAAAAAATCAGCAACACCTCTTCCTAGTATCTGTTCACTTAATGATATCAGGAAAGATCTCTCATCCAGGTCCTCTTTTCAACCATCATGGGCATGCTCATCGAGGCCATGTTGTTTATAAGTCGTGTTTTTTTTTTTAAGTTTAATATGAAATTATGAGTAAAGAGTATGGGTCGGTCGATAGTTGGTTGTCATGAGTAAATATATACAATTTTTTAGTTTACGTAACTGGAAGCTGCTGTTATTAGTGTTAAAATTTTGGACTGAAAATATTGATGTTTTTGTAAATGAGTCATTTTGGCTGAACTGTATATTTGCGAGGCGTATGTCCTTAAGTTTTTAAGGAGGTATGTTTATGTATTTAGTATCAGTAAAAAAGGAAAGTAGTACTTTCAATTGATTGTTTAAATTCGTTTCTTTTCATTTCGTGTTATATTTACTGAAAGAAAGAAATAGTATTAAATAATCGACACTGAAATACAGCTTTAAATTAATAATAATAAATAATATAAGCTTAATCACAATCACCTCAATTTATGATTGAATCCCTCTTTATGGCATTTCAGGTCTAAAGCCAAAATGGGGATGGGGGATACTCGCCGTAAAGTAGTCGAAGATAGCAATGATTCCGAAAGTGAATCGTCATCGATGAATTCGGAGTCGGATTCGATCGGGTCTGACGAACTAAAAAAGATATTGGACAGCACCAAAGCCGGCGACAAGATTATGAAGGAGTTTAAAGCTAGAGAGAGCTACAGAGGAGTCGGAAAAGAAGTGGACGCCCATCGGAAAACGGCGGACTGGATGTCATCAACGAGAGGCGAGCTGGCGAAGAAGAAGGAAGCAGCGGGCAGTAGCAAGATGGCTGCCTCCAAGGCAAATCAGAACCTATCCTTCTTCAGTTCATCGGACATGGATTCCGAGGACGAGAAAATGGCCCAGCAGCTGAAGAGCAAGATGACGCTGTCCTCAAAGAAGCCTCCCACGGACAACAGGGAGGCCGCCAGGAAGCTGCTGAGTTCCATCTCGGAGAAACCGAAGGGTACGGTGCCGACGAAGCCCCCCGTGGCCACGGCGAAGAGGACGGGTGCGCCATCGGCGGCCCCTAGGCTAGCTGTGAGCAGGCCCGGCCCGACGGATAAGGCCAAGCCCAGGAAGAAGATGTGACCTGTCCCAACAACAATAGCTCCAAAAAAAGTTTATAAAACTCGAATTTGGCCATAGGTAAAATTGAGCAGGAAAAGTGATTAGAAGATTAAAAATATTTTCAACGTCAATGTTTTTATTTATATATTAGCTGGTACCAATACAAATAAAGACAGTAGACTAGTGTACAATGAAACCACACTAATAGCATTAAAAAATATGATTATCTAGTGTAAAACAGTCCAGCAACTGAAATGCGGCGCCATATGTATTGGAAACCCAGACAAGCTGCTGGAGATTGTCATCTCTGGAATAAGTATTAGGTTACAATAACTCCGGGTTATGGCGCTATCTGGAGTCAGTGGTGAGAATATTTGTGTATGTACAAGGAATCGATTCGGGAAGGTCAGAGTTCCTTGTCCTCTGGATAGCTTGCACTTCCTCTTGAACACATTACTTCGAGCAGAGGAGTAGTCTTCAGCTTTTTATTCAATAGTCTATTTTGGCTGCGGTCATTGGCACCAACTTAACAAAGATTCTTTAGAAATATTTTGTTGGGAATATTTTTTAAATTAACAATTTTTTGAATCGATTGAATCGAACCTTGTCGGTATACAAAAGATAATTCTAAGAAATCGCACTTATTACTAACAATTTTATTTCATGCTTATAAGCTTCAAGCAAAACAATACGATCATTAATATTTTATAGTTACATAGGTGAGCATAGAAAATATTATTTAAAAAATAAAAACATTTTATTAAAAGTTACACTTGTTGACTACATCACATCCTTTCTCCCCTGTATGGAAAAAAAAAAAAAAAAAAGAATGAACCACTTTAGTTCAAAAATGTACCTGAATAAAACATGCTGAACAACGTACGACTCATTCTGATTTAGTTTCTCAAAGTATTAAATAGGCAAATTGATTGATTAGCTTGTTCTTCAGAAGACTCAACCATCGTTCTGATGGTGGTAAGAGTGGTGTAGGTACGTAGTTTGTATCTGACTCGGATGTGCGAAGATATTTAAGGCGGCATTTATTCCAACGGTTTTAGGAATCGAGAAAAAAAATACTTTTATATATATATATATATATATATATATATATATATATATATATATATATATAATATATATATATATATATATATATATATATATATACATACAAGTGATCTACAAGTGAAGAAAAACGGCACAACATAAACTTAATAGTTTAGATACAACCCAATTCAAAGATTTAACCAAAATTCAACTTTATTTAACAGATTATCTCAATTTATTATTATACCAAACTCACATCAGCAATATCTTTTGCTGTATATAAAATTCATGGTTAGAGCTAAGTTCTGGAACGTTTGATTTTAAAATTAGAAGAAAAATAAATAAAAATATCCTAACGGTTTCTACTTATAACATATTTGTCTTGGTATCCATCGACACTGTTGGGTATATTGAAACAAGCATTTCTGGACTGTTTTGTTCAACACATTCCAGAACTTCTTGTTGGAGCAAACCCAATATGAACCATTGGTACAACAGCTGCACACCTTTCAATGGAAAAATCCTCAGGAAAATTTAAAATTAAGTTAATAATATCATATCAGATTTTAGTCATTAATTTACGCATTTTCGTTCATTCATGAAATTCATTAAAGGGTAAAGTGTTAAGAAGTCCAGAAAAATGTCCAATAACTAAAAATAGTTTAACAGGATCTGGCGACCCATCCCACAACGAGGTAAGAAAATCACCATCAGATTTTTTTGAAATTCGGCACAGTTGAACTACTTGTTGAGAAAAATCTGAAGTTCTTTAGAGCTGCGTAATTAAAAAACGAATTTATTTATCTCAACAAAATTAATTTTTGTTTATATATATATTTTTTTCCCCCAAAAAATAGTGCTAACTGTCCTGAATTTCAAGAAAATCTGAAATGGTGAGGTTCAGATCTTGTGTTGAATTATGGAATGTCCCTGGAAACAGTTTTGACATCCTTTGGAAAAATCTTATATGGGCCTGAAGACTTTAAAATTTTGTCAATAATGATATTTTTTTTTTTGTACAAAGATTTAATCTTCAATCTAGTACAAGTTACTAAGTTCAGAAGACTTGAGAGTTCCAGCTCTTAGATATAGATGCTGCAATGGAATGTCTGGAGAATTTAACGTTTACAGTAATTTCACTTGGTAATGGACTGATCTGCATCCACAACGGAGTACCACGGATTGGTACCTAACAATATTGGTTGGTGACCTCTCCAATAACTCGTTATTGTTATTGACCACAGTACCATTCTTCAAAGATAAATATTTTAGATATGTAAAATGCAGCTGTTTGATTATCAATATCGAAGAATTGAGTAGCTTTTAGTATTATGTTTAGACAGAATTTTCTTTTTCAAGTGTAAGCTCCACATTAACCTTCTGTCGTATATGAATCCTAAATAATTTGCAGATTTTAGAAAATATTTCTTTGTTATAATTTTTTTAAACCTCTCAATCAAGAGAACCATCAGTTATAATTCTAACACTCTAGCAATCTTCGTTTACAGATACAGTGATCACAAAATGGGTGAGTGCGCGTGTACAGTATTATCTGTCTGCTGCATACGTATATACTAATATATCTGTAAGTATATTGCTTATCCAAGGGACACTTAAAAGATTATATTTAATATTGAAACAAATTAAGTGCAAACGAATAATTAATTATTTCTATCATGCTTCATTATGCTGCTATTTATTTATCTATTGACAATGAAAGAATAAGAAAGACTTTTTTGTTGATGATAATTTTTAACATCGTTATATGTGAGAAAACTCGACATCAAGTCTAAAGCATAAGGAAGTATGTTTTTGAAAGAAAGTTAAAGTCGCCAACCAAGTAAGCATACCATATGTAATTAATCCCTCAATCCCTTATGTGAACTTCTTAAAAACCGAATTTGAAGTCTATATAAAACTTTACATAATACTTTACTTAGAAATACTTTCTTCTAAAATAAATGAATGCTACAAAACCTTAGCTATTTTAACGTATTTACAAAACAAATAAATACCGTGAAGTTATTTACATTTAATTATACCTTTATTATTTAAATAGAAAATGAAGCAATAAAACATATATTATGATTATGCATGTTGATGGTAATTTGAGAGGGTAAGAATCAAGTTCAGCAAAGATCATTAGAGGTCACTGACCTCCACTTAATAATAAAAAAACCTATATAACTTACAACCCATGTAGGGTTTTGGGTTCAGTAGTTTGTGAGGAAGAACTGTTTCAAGGCCAACGGTTGTGTAGGGAAGGTAATCGGGCCAGGAACAAGCTCAACTGCCAGGATCCACTAATAATAATACCAGAACAGTTGGTCACAACACATGTAAACAACAAGATATCCTTAGTGGCTATAGAGTAGATTATTTAAAAATAAAATATATTTAAAAATAACTTACTTATATACATCTTTTCTACAGCTTATCTAGTTTTGTATTACAATGCCAAGTAAATCCACCAAGCTTTAATTTTTTTTCTTCTCCCTAGGCTGTAGAAACCCTTTAACCTCCCCCCGTTCTCTCAAGTATTTTATAGCTGAATTAGAAAAAATCGTAGATCATATACAATCACACTTGCTGCAGTCTGATTCATGTTCTCCTCTTGTTGTCTCTTAGTCGAAAAACGCATAACCCCATCGAAATTTGCCCATCTCAAAAATTCAAAACCCCATAAAAATATACTTTCCCTAAAATTTTGATGGCTCAACTTGCGCCGTGAAAACCCCCTTTTGGGCACTCCTTATTGTTTAATCAGGATGTTCTTCTCGAGCCAAAGAGATACTGCTTTTCAGTTTACAAGAAGCTGTCAATTCGATTTATCATTCTGCTTTTTATCCTCTCAAATTTCTCGTCTCAAACAATGTGACTTTCATTTTTGTGTAGAAGTTTCCTGTATGCTTCGAGTGACATCGCTTTCCCATTTTAACTTCCTCTTCTTCATATGGTAATATTTGGACTGACCAGTTTTTGGAAACAGTTGTTAGTTGGTTAGTTTTTTCTTGATATGTTAATACTCTGATTCCAGATCGCAACTCTTTCTAGGGTGTGTTGGTAACCCTGAACTACAGAATTCTAGAGATTTTTTCGGGATTTAAGTTCCCTTCAACAAGAGAAGAAACCTATAACAGCGTATGTCATAGTGTAGTTTACGTATTCGAATCTATCTTTACCTAAGAACGATTATCTACGGACGCAGGTCCTATTGCGGGGGATGGTTTTTTAGGCTTACTGTCATATATTTTGTTTCATCTAAAACAATTATAGATATTAAATATATGCTTATGAATGTTGTTGATTTTTTATTTTAAGTTTTATACAAATAGAAAGTCAATGACGTCATTTACACTAATTCGAGGATTTCTTTTTTACTTTAAGGTTCAGTGCCACAGAAGCGATGCAGCGAGAACCTTTTCAGTGGGGCTCAACCAGAAAAACTTCAACTTCAACCAAACTGGACGAAGCACATTTCAAAGACGCATTGAACAGAATGAAAGAGAGTGGTGTTAGGTAAGTTGCTGTGAGTAGGAACAGGTAGGTGTTAGATGTATTACCTAGAAATAATTACTTAAGAACATATTTTTAATTATTTAAATAATTAAAGATATAATGAATGGTCATATAATGCACAATAGGCTATCTTAAAATGCATATTATATCTTAACATGAATTTATCCTTTTTTTTGTATCAATATATATGGTTGAAATTAAATTGTTTATTAAAAACAAGAATACAATAAGTTTTTTAGTAAAAGTACTATATATGACTGTTGTAGGAGCGGAACAGTACCTTGGTGTATAGATTTTTTATTTTATTGTTATTTTAGAAAACTATTTGTCGATGTATTTGTAGATTGTAGATAGGGGGAATTTGGAGGTTAAAGCTTTTTTGATTTTTTGAGATAGGACCGGGATTTATGAAATCATGATGGGAGATGGAGAGCAGTCTGTGGGAGATTGGTGAAGGTTTGGATTAATTTGTAATTAGGTTTTTTATTATGTGATCAGAAAAGGCGTTGGATTGCAGGACCTTTTGTAGTTTTGTTAGGTCATTGTCGTGGAATTGTTG